TAGGTAAGTCTCGTTTTCTCTTACTTTGAATTAGAAATATGTCCTGGTGTATAGAGTTTTTGTAATGACGGGGTGTTCAAAGTATTTTACTTGTTTGGTAAGTTTTGATGAATCGTTTAGATTTGGGAGTAGCGGCGGAAGGCTGTTGCTGATATGGTTTCGTAGGTATAAAGTATCGAAGTGTTAAAGTGTCGTATTTTTTTTTTTGGCTGTTGTGAGGTTGAAGGTCTAGTGGAATCTGATTGGTAGTAGAGAAATGAGAATGCGGGTGATGAAGTAACGTAGTTCTGGAGTTTGGGAGTATTGATTCTTGTGGTATTAAGGTATCGAATTATAATGACTGTTAAAGTGTAGTAGTAGGTCCAGTGAAATCGTTGTTGATTGGTAGTATCGTTTGTACAGTTTGGTGAAGTTAAACGAGTTGGTGTCGAACTTCTGGAGTATTGTATCTAGTTATGTTTAGGTAACGAAGTTTGATATGTGTTGTGAATGTAGTAGAGTATATCGAGTAGTCGAGTTTATCGTAAGTTAGATGATTTTAATTCAGTACGGAACACACTACAAAGAAAGGTGGGCGCTCTCTAATTGAAAAAATCCTTAGCTCTTTAGGAATCTATATTACCACTCTTAAAGTATTAATATATAATATTAAAGGATGTAATTTATAACTAACCGTAAACTGTGTTATTTAAAAAAATATTTTTTTTATATTTAATCAATAATTCTAGCATTGTCTTAACAGTTACCCGTGTTTGATCTTTTGAAAGACGTCCCTTTATTTTAGGGATCCAAAATTTTAAAAATATTCAAATGCAAACAACAAAGTTTAATGTGGGTCATCTAAATTGAATAGAAGTATGTTATAATAAAGCTACAGTTTTAGTCTTTCAAACAAAACATACAGTTAAGTAACCGATAAATAAAATAAACTGTTTTTACAAGAGTTCATAGCTAATATTAAAAGTTTGTTATAATTATTACGTAATTAAATTTAAAACGTTGTATTGTGTTTTCCAAACATGTCATAGTTACACTTGGTTAATTTAAATATTCATGTGAAAGTTATTTCCCTTCTATTAAATATTGGTAGGATTTTCAAATGGGAGATAATTCGTTGCTTACATTTACATTCATTTCAAATTCCTGCACCTTAGGTTGACCGCTTACATATAAATACAACTTTAAGTTATTATTTGCTATTGTAAAAATTATATAGAGCTTAACTTAAGTTCTAAAGAAAATAGTTTGGTAGGTATTTTAGCATTATCAAGTTGAAAAACAAATACATCAGTAGTATAAGTAGACATACAGTCTTAGTCGTAAATTAAACATCTAATTAACACTTAAATAAATTTTTTTAACGGGGGGGGGGGGGGGGGGGGGGGGGGGAGGGGAGATTCGTGGACTTGTCAACAATGTCAATAAAATGTGATTACACTTGCAAACTGAAATTAAGGGATTAGTACAAACTTTTGAGACGAAGGAGGCAAGTAAAATTTGATTTTGATGTCTACTTATAACGTGTATGCAATTGATAATAAATTATGTCACTTTTAATTAATTGTTTTCTTATACATATGTTTTAGTAATTAATTTGTGTGAAAGGGGGCGTTTTAATAAGTTTTTCGTAGGGCGCTAAACAACCAGGCGCCGACACTGACTAAATTTAAGGTGTGTCAAACTTTTGACAAGCGAGACGTTATTTTGTATGTAATTTAAAAAAATACAAATTCCCTAAAAGTATAGAAATATAATGCTTACTGAAACATGAAATATCATTTTTCTGTAATTTAATGACTGTACTTTCTAAAAGTCTAGACGTTATGGAATCGACATGATATTTAATAGGCATAAAGTAAGACGCTAGACGCAGATCAGTATCATAGTCTTTAAATGCTTACATTCTATAATTATAATATATATATATATATATATATATATATATATATATATATATATATATATATATATATATATATATATATATATATATATATATATATGTGTGGGGACCATACTAGAGCTTAGCCGTTCCTACCCCGCTCTTTAGGCATATCGCTACCACCCCAACCCCACCCCATTAGTCTGGTGAGCCGTGATTAACACTAAATGCTTACAATCGCAGAGCCGGGTTGAATTAGTGATGGCTATTACGGGCAGATAATTTAGTTTTTAAACGATTTGAAACTAAGGGGAGATAATGACAAGGTCTGCTTTTCAAATGATTCTATATTGAAACCCAAGTTTCTATATTAAAATTTCCGTCGTTAAGTTTGTTGAAGATCCATCAAAACCTCAAACATTACACGCCTAAAAACGCAAAAAAGTTTACTTAAAAAACTTTTAAAAAAAACGCTACCCACACTACCCACAACCCCCCCCCCCCCCCCCCCCCCCAAAAAAAAAAACGCTCCCCACACTACGCACATTTACCCCCCCCCCCCCCCCCACTAAAAATATAAAAAATAAAATAACATACGTGTATGCATACAATTAACTGTAATTAATTGATTGCCGCTCATCATCTATTTCTAATCTTGGAAAAAATATTGTAAGATACTATATTCAAATTTCAATTTAAAAAAAAATAATTCCTACCTTAATATTTTCTTCCCATCTCTTCCAAATCTTTTAGGGGCGGATCCAAAACTGCGGGACCAGGGGCGTAAACTGTGCGCCGAAGAGTGGGCGGCGTACTGCGGCAGGAGAGATTGCGCCGACGCCATCGCGAAGTTCTCCAACACCAAGAGCTTCTACCTCAAATCCGTGGAGGCTGAACGAACTAGCCAGAGACTGGAGCGTTCTAACTCTCTGCCAGAGCTGGTGAAGGACGAAGCACCGGGGCCCAAACCCCAGCATAAGCGGGCGTCGTTGAGGAAAAAAATTAAGAAAAAGCTAACCGGAACGACGAGCGACGGAACAAATAAACTCAGTGTTTCTCCGGGTTCTAGATCTCCTTTTGCGGTGATAGCACGCTGCGTTTCAACGCCGGTTCTGCCGGGCGCGATGAATTCCGGGTCCAGCGGCGGTCCGCTGCAGAGACCGGTGAGCGTCGATAATATCCCGAGGGTGGAGGTGACCATGCCCCCCAGGGAGGAAGGCGGGGAGGCGCCCTGCCCGAGCGCAAGTCCCGGCCGGACGTGCCGGTCCCGGCGCCGGCTCCACAACACCCCCTGCCCCGACGCCAAAGACACGGCCGTCAACATTCCAACCACGTCGTCGGCCCCGACCTTCACAGAGGAGTACATTACGGTCACGTGACACCCGGCATTCCCGTGAATTCCCCAAAAAAAATATTTCTTTCAAACATCGGGAATTACGCAACTTTTAATTCAAACATCGGGAATTACCCAACTTTAAATTCAAGTCGGGAATTACCCAACTTTTAATTCAAAAAACGGGAATCACCCAACTTTTATTTCAATATTGGGAATTACCCAACTTTTTTTTTTTATAACAATCGGGAAAACCCCGACGTTCTACAAGATATTGAGCAATCAAAGATTTGCATATTCTTCAACCCTCTCTTATTTACCACGAGACTACACTTGTATCAAGCTTCAAGCTTTCATACCAAAGTGATGTACCATTGGTTTCTAAAAAAGTGCTTTTACAAGAGAATATAAGTACTGATGGTATAAACTTCATTATTTGACATGGATTTTTACAGTTTGCACAAATATAAAACTTCAGAGCCCAAGACCCCATTTACTTCCCTTTGCCAGCACTCATAACATTTGTTTACATACACATATTCCTCAAATATCAATATTTTATCATTTTTTTAAAATCATTTTTTTAACGTTGATACTATTGACGGATTTGAATACTTCATGTTAAATATTTTAAATGTATTAAAGCGATTTGTGATAGAAATTGGACGAAAAAAAACAACCATGGAGACCTTTGAATCAACGCTGCTTTCAAGGAGTTATAAAATATTGATTTGGCGTACATACCTTTCAAGGGGAAATAAATGGAAAGATGCATCTATGAATGGTTTGTGAAAGAAATTTGGAATTTCAGATTTAGAACTTGTGTTCAAAAGTTGAATATTGCCTAGAGAAATAGTGTTAGGTTGGAGATGAGATGAAGGTTTTAGAGATTGTATTGATTGATGTGTCTTTTCAGAACTATGTGGATGGTTGTGTTTAAAGTCTCCCTCTCTTCTCTCATCTCTCTCTCTCTCCCTCCCTCTCTCTCGCACTCCATCTCTCCCTCTCCCTCTCTTTCCCACTCTCTCCTATCTCTCTCTCCCTCTCTCTCTCCTTCCCTCTCTATCACTCCCTCTCTTCCCTTTCTCTCTCTCTCGCCCTCCCTCTTTCACCCCCTCTCTCACTCTCTCGCCCTCTAAGTCCCTCTCTCCCTCTCTCTCCCTCTCTCTCTCCCTCTCTCTCTCCCTCTACCTCCCTCTCTCACCCCCTTTCTCACTCTCTCTCCCTCTACATCACTCTCTCTTTCCCTCTACCTCCTTATCTCTCTCCCTCTCTCTCTCTCTCTCCTTCTCTTTCTCCCTCTCCCCTGCTTCTCGCTCTCGTCGTTATTCTGGTTGATGATGTTTTTCATTTATCTATATTTCTTTAACTCTCCTTCCTTCTCTCTATCTTTCTCTGGCTTTCGCCGTTATGCTGGTTGGCGATGTTTTTTGTCTCTCTTTCTCTACCTCTTTTTCTCTCCCTCCTTCTCTTTCCCCCTCTTGCCTTCGCCGTAATATTCAATGATTGTATTTTTGGTTTTCTCTCTTTCTCTGTGTCTCTGTCTCTGTCTCTTTCTCTCTCACTCTCTCCCTCTCTATCTGTCTTTGTCTCTCTGTCTCTCTCACTACCTTTCTATTATACTGTTGTAAAACAGCATTTAACATCACAAATGTGAGTCTCTCTGTCACTAATATGAAGGCATATTCATCTCAAACAATGGCCTCTAGCACGGCAAGACAACAAAACCTAACGTGAGTTCGAATCTCCCAAATTATGTAGCGCTGGCATCCCCACCTTGAAGAATACCCCTTCGTCACACTAGTCGCTACAGGGTATATGATCAGGTCATGATTCCAATCTGGAAAAACTGTTTTCACAGACGTTCGCTTCCCGGTGTTTTGGCATGATTTATCTTAGACAGGACGAACCATTAGAAAGTTGAGGACCTACGGTCTTAAGTTCTACTATTGGACTGGTAACTTATGGCGAGGAAACGCTCGCTCTTCTAAATCGTGTTGTTTCCTTACATCAAATCCTTACATCCTTACTATCAAATTTTATGAGCGACCAACGCTTTGTCTTAAGTAAAGAAGTTTGCTTTATTTTATCTTATTTTCAGCCTATTCTTTTTATTAAGGATTAAATATTTTTTTTTAAATCTATTACGTTTTAATACATTGGTTTGATAAAAGAAATATGTGTATTGTTTGATAGACTGCTATAAAAACCTAGTTTGCAGTACAGGCAAGAGCTTGAGTTGAGTAAGAAGGGGGGGGGGGGGGAGGGGGGCGGGTTAGCGGTGAATGGTGAGTTATAAAATAGCACTAAGCGTGGTTGGGGGGGGGGGGGGTGCTGTCCGCACAGGATGACACCATTTAGGGGGCAACTATAGGAAAATTCCTATCAAAACTATTTTTATCCCAGTGTTATAGTAAACTAATTGAAGAGAGGTGTACTATCAAACCAAAATGTAAAATTTGTATCGGAGGGAGTAGGGGGTGACACCCTGAGTTACCGCAGCGAGTGACACCCCACCCTGGTGACGCCTCTGTTTGTGCGCTCACTACCTTGTCCAGAGTTCAGCTCGCTCGGAACAAATCGCCCGGAACAAATCCACTCAACCATGTCTCCACCTGTCCCCATCTGCTCATCCGTGTGCACTCAATGTTTTTGTTATCAATTCAAAGTTGTGATTTCCTTTCGTCTTTTTCACACGGGCCTACACTATTGGATATTTAGTATCACGTGATTTTTGCTCTTGCTCGCAGTCCCTGTATCTCGCACATATACTTCATATCTCACGCAATAAAAACATCACTTCCTTTCTTCCCACATACGCGATACTATTATACTCACAATTTTACTGTGATTTAAAATGTGGAAAAAGAAACAAGTATGTGTTTATTTATACATGTTTGCTGCACTATATTCATATTCCAGGCATTGTTTTTAAAGTCGATTTTCCTCTGTAAACAATTTTTATGAAGATTTTAGTACTTTGAAAACTATCAAAATCATTTATAACAGTCTCTAGTTTTAGGCTTTTTTTGAATAGGCTCACTGAAAAAACATATATATATATATATATATATATATATATATATATATATATATATATATATATATATATATATCGTTTTGGATAGTCAGAAATTGACCAATAGGCAGCCCATATTTGGTTTAACTATGGTATAATAATAATAAAGAACACATTGACAAAATCAACATGGATCTGATTCAATTTATCTGGCAATAACTCACCCAAGGACAAAGGGAGAGCAGTAAATTATTTAATATTTTTCGGATTATTTTTCTTATGATGTAAATACCACTTTTCCTTCTTCTTACACTTTGCATTTAATCTATGAATTATATTTTTATATACATTTCTACATGTTTATTAAAAAAATGTTGATGTTTATCTTTTTAATTTAATTTCTCTTGAAACTGACAATAGTTATTTACATTTTTTAAAACAGTGTTGTCTAATCGGTCAAAAGTTGTTTCCCCTTACAAGATTGTTCGTACTACACTACTTGACCATGTATATATGAACCTTTTATTCTAATTCCCTTTTTTTTCTGTTTCATTCAAATACATCAATATATTTGTTATTCAATAAACCTTCAATTATGACTTGTTAAAGAGAGTTACTTTTATATTTCAATTTTTTCTTAGCGTTTTTGCAACGACATGCTTTTAAAATAATTATTGCAAGAAGACTTCTTTTCAACAGTGTGGGTCGTCTTATCCTCCAGGTGTCGTAAATTTACAACTAGTGAATCAAACAATGCTATAGAGTCCTTGCATATGACGTCACGGATCGTTCACTATGTAAACAGCCGCCATCACGGTGTACAGGTACACATTCAAAATGGCGATCTGTGCTGTGAAAGGTTGTGATACTCGAAGTGGCAGATTTAAATGAATTCCTTTATTTTGACTGTCAATCGTCTATTGTAACGAAAACGTGGTGTTGGGAGCGTAGTTTATTCCCAGCAGACTTATAATGTGGACCTTAAACACTTTATTTTAAAATTTATCATCTTCTTTATCTATAAAAACAACGATGTCATAAAAAAGCACCTTAATTTAGTAAAATAGAATTTGAGATTACGCCTAATTAATTAATATCATAACTTAATGTTAGACATTAACTTTAAACAGTAACACTCATTCTATACACAAAGCTTAACAATAAAATACAAAAACCTTTTTTAAATAATTTATCCATCAAGAAATTTGATATTAGAATTACAGTTAGTGGAAAACCAAATTTATTATGCTTAATTTTTAACACATTTAAAATCTAATTATTACGATGGTTATTGTATACATTTTTAGTCGCTATGGTATTAAATTTGAATCGCCTATAAGGAAGGAATCGCTTATAAGTAAAGGCGGCTGGGCATAGTGCTGACCACACTATCTCTTCAAATGCCGAGGTAACAGAAACAAGTGAACTCTACTTCACTTGCCCTATAGACCGTCAGGTTTGAAAAGGGAACTTTTTTTATAAGGATGGTGAATTTCATTCAACAGGAAAGATAATCTCGAAATAACTAAACGGTGTCTAATTCTTGAGTTGTCTAACTTTCATAGGTTTTAGTTGAATAAATTCAGCCTTTGGAAATGAGGCAAATGAGTAACTTAGCAAAATCAGTTATAATAGGGCCTTTAAAGAAACAACTGAGGATGAAAATATAAAGGGAATGATCTAAAAAAAATGTAACTAAAAAATTATATTTTAATTTTAATATGATTTACTCAACAATTAATGACATTAATTTTTCCTTTAATTTAAAGTGAAATTTCATCTATTTTAAACATATATAATTTCAAGGTTGATTTAATTCTTATATAATTTGCAAAAGCATAACTGATAGATCGATATCAAATAACAGATGAACTAGCTGGTGCGCAGTTGGTTTGCGCACTTTCAGGTTTACATTCGTTACAATGAAATGAATGAACGAGATGAAACTTCTGAGGGTCTTGAACGTAAATGATGCAGCTAAATATTTTTTTTTAAAGTTTAATAGTATATGAACAAAAACTTTATATCTATACCAAATCAATAAACGTCAAAGTAGATTTTTTTAAATATATTCAAAATTAAAAGGTATGTTTAGTAAATAAACTTAAAATCTAAAACAGAAAAAGTTTTTCTAAATCCCAATCTAGATCAAGATTGAGATGAAGGCCCATACACAGTGGGACTAATTTTAATTTCAACATTTATTTATTTTTAATTCTGAAAATGATTAAAAAACAATAATAATAATATAGATCAATGCTTTTGTCGGTTATTAATTGTAATCGTAACCTATACAAAATGCTTGGACTACTAAATTCCTAGGCAAAATCACAATAAAGCTAACGATGCATATATTTTTAGGTTATCGTTTCAATAACACAGACGAATAACATTTGTATTAAATTGAATATTTTCTATTTTAATAATGATTTTTTTGTCATTTTCCGTTTCTTTGTTGTTGTTATTTTATCTAGTTAATCCCCCATACACACCCACCCTGTTTTCTGCTTTCATAAATCATTTTAAATCTATATGTAACTAGGGTAGGCCTAGCTACTAGTTACAATCTGATGCAACTGATAACGAACGATAAGCCGCGACGCAGTATTACAGTCTGATGCAACTGATAGCAGGTGGCTTATTAAATCGGACTGATAACAATCTCAAAGCCAACGCGTGCTATTTTGGGAAACGGTACGAGGGGATTCAGACGGCCTGTCAACTTTGATTGATAGGATGCAGATGTTTTATTAATCGGACTGTACGTTAGAACTGCGCAACTAGTAGTCGGAGACATCGAGTACAAATATCGATTACGGATGAATACAAGTACGAATACGAGTACGAATACAAGGGATAAATAGGAGGGGACGGCTGAGCTCGCCCCTTTTCGATCGCTCGCTCCCTTTTTTCGATCGCTCGCTCTCTTTCGATCGCTCGCACTCTCTTCATCGCTCGCTTTAGATCAGTCAGTCTGTGTGACATATCAAGTTGGAGATAGAACGGGTTAGCCGTATTGTGTTAAGAAGGACAATAGACATGTGGATTCAGTTATATGAAGCCTAGTGAGGACTGTTAGGGGTCAGTTGATTCAGACTATTATTGTGAAGCATTCCTGTTGATTCATTGTGTTATTTTGAAGCATTTCTTGATTCATGTAATAAAAGGATCAATAGCGAACCTGCATCTTCGAGTATTTCTACTGTAGTCGATGTTGTGTAGAATGAGTGGTTAAACTCGTTACATTTGGCACTACAGGCAAATAGTCTCGTAACATGTGGCGTTGCGAGCAGGGTAACTGTTCGCTCGTTACAATTGGCGTCGTCGGACAGGATGAATTCAACTAGACTTGCCGTTGGAGGCACCCATAGTCAACCTTGTGCATAACTGTGTTTTGTGTGTGTGTGTGAATTCGGACATTCAGGAACTGTGAAAATTAAGGAACGAGAAAAATTTTTCATACACACACGGTAAGAAAGAACTCTTTTTTTGTTACTTACGGAATAAAATGTCTACTCTGGACGAGAAGCAGACCCATATAGTGGTCCTACCCAGAGAGTCCCACATTAACAAATTTTACGGGGACGGTGATCCAACTTTAACCAACAGGTTCAGTGAAGAGGTCAAAGCGGCCTGGGCCCCGAGAGGCATGTCACCAGAGGAAAGATTAAGACTGCTGATGGGCAGTATAGGAGAGACGGTTAGGGCAGAGGTCAAATGCCACGATAAAACCATCCAATCAGATCCAGATAAGGTGCTGGATCTGATTATGGAGACCTTTGGGGAGAGACGGTCGGGATCGCAACTGCTATCAGGGTTCGTAGGCTTAAGGCAGAGAATGGCGGAGAGTGTGATGGAGTACTCACACCGGATGAACAGGGCCTTTGATTCGGTAAAGGGCAAAACACCTGACATTGATGTGCGCCTACTGAGGGACCATTTCATCGAGGGGCTAGCAACCCCGATCCTAAGAAGAGAGTTGAAAGAGGAGGTCCACAAAGACCCGCAGTTGACCTTCCTTCAGGTCAGGAACTCAGCGATCCGCAGGTCCGAGGATGAGGACCAATCGAACTGTTCGGTGGACAAAGTCTCTGTGCCGGAACAGAAACAATCCCCACCCACAGGGGCCGACACGATGGAGACCATGATGGCTCAACTGTTGGCCCACCTAGATAAGGTTGACCAACGTTTGGAGAGGTTAGAAAGCAGGTCAACAGCTGAGAATCAGGAAAAGAACGGGACAAAACAGAGACAGGTTGGACGGCCGCGTCCTGCCAAGCCATCACTCCAATGGACGGCCGACGGTCGACCAATTTGCTTGTCCTGTTCACAACCCGGACACATGGCACGGTACTGCCAGGGAAACGGTCGTCCTCTGTAAGGCAGGGTCAGGCTACAGAGGGGCGAGGTTATGGCCCAAGAAACAAAATGATGGGAGTCTGTCCCGAAATGGTGATCACGATTGGGGACATCGCGGTGAAGGCAATTGTGGATACAGGCTCCCAGGTGACGACAATTACAGAAAATTTTTACACCAAATGGATGAAAGGAAAAGACCATAGGTTAAGGTCTGACACGTGCATGCGCCTGACGGCAGCTAATGGACTAACCATTCCATACTGTGGTTATTTTCTGGCGGATGTGGTGGTGGCAGGACATAGGTTGAAGCAGGTTGGGGTGTTCGTTACGAAACACAACCTAGAGACAAATGTGTCAAATATACCTTGCCTGTTGGGCATGAATATTCTTGGCCAGTTGCCAGAATTTCTTACAAATATTGTCGGATCGCCCACATCAGATCGGGGATCCAAGTTGGCCAGGTTTGCCAAGACCAGAGGAAGGACAGCAGTCCCGGCAAACACGGTCAAGGCAATCACATTACAAATTGGTGATAAAAGCGTGAATGGTGATGTGATGATAGAACCATGTGGCGCCGCACTGAGGGCAGGCATCGTGTTACTGCGGACATACACATCAGCGGAGAAGGTACTAGTTCAAGGGTTGGTAGCTAATGTTTTGGATGAGGAAATTTTTATACCGCCTAACACTCTGGTAGGAGTACCACAGAACGTCGAGGTACAAAGGTCGGCACAGTGCATCGAACTGATCAATACCAGCAGTAATGAAGTAACAATTAGGTCGGTCAATGTGACGGCCGAGGTGAAGAAAGAGGATGGCCGATCATATACATTCCCGGAAACTGAGGACCCAAAACTAAATGAATTGCTGAATAAATACAGTGATATATTTGCCTCGTATGAGGGTGATTTGGGGTACACGGAAGTAATCAAACACCAGATACCCTTACTACAAGACAAGCCGGTGGCGCAACCCTACCGAAGATTACCACCAAGTCACTACTCGGCGGTGAAAGCACACCTGAATGATCTACTAAAAAAGGGAATTATTACAACCAGTACAAGCCCGTATGCGGCACCGATAGTAGTGGTAAAAAAGAAGTCAGGGGAGATAAGACTGTGTTGTGATTACCGGAAATTGAACAATATCACAAGAAGGGATGCATTCCCCTTGCCTCGTATTGATGAGTGTCTTGATGCGTTGGGGGGAGCAAGATTTTTTTCTACCCTAGATTTGGCTAGTGGCTACCACCAAGTGGCCATGCACCCCAACGATCAACATAAAACGGCATTTATTTCTCCACTGGGACTGTACGAGTGGACCCGTATGCCGTTTGGTTTGACTAATGCACCTGCCACATTCCAGCGAGTAATGCAGAGTGCTATGAGTGACTTTCTATTTCAAATAATGTTGGTGTACTTGGATGATATTCTAGTTTACTCAAAAACTTGGGAGGACCATCTAAAAAGATTAGAACAAGTGTTTCTCCGTCTTAGGGAGATAGGAGTAAAGCTGAACCCAGACAAATGCTGCTTTGGTCTGAAATCGGTACATTTTTTGGGTTATGTGATTTCGTCGGATGGCATCGCCACTGACCCAGATAAAATTGCAGCTGTTAAAGAATGGAAACAACCATCAACTACGGTAGAGGTCAGGTCATTCTTGGGTTTTGCTTCCTATTATAGAAAATTTGTACCTGGTTTTGCAAAAATTGCCGCACCATTGCATGACTTGGTAAACAAAATGACAAAGAAACACAGTAAAGATAAAAAGAAAGGTAAAACACACCGGATAGGTGAATTATGGACTGATGAATGCCTGAACTCGTTTAAGCTCTTGAAAAAGGCTTTGACAGAGGCGCCGATATTGGGATACGCGGACTTTGACAAACCATTTCGGTTAGAAATCGACGCCAGCTCTAAAGGTCTGGGAGCTGTGCTATCACAACAACAAAAGCAAGGTTTCAGGGTTATTGCGTATGCCAGTCGAGCTCTGAAGGAATCAGAGAAGAACATGACAAATTACAGCGCCATGAAACTAGAACTTTTGACATTAAAATGGGCTGTGACTGAAAAATTCAGGGACTATCTATTAGGTGCTAAATGTGTGGTATACACTGACAATAACCCCTTGAGTCACCTAAAGACAGCAAAGTTGGGATCCATCGAACAGCGATGGGCAGCAGAATTGGCACTCTTTGACCTGGAGATAAAATATCGCCCGGGGCGGTCCAATGGCAATGCGGACGCCTTATCAAGGAATCCTTACGAGAGACCGGGCGAGGAGGAAGAAACGCTGACAGGAATATGTGAGGTCAGAGCGTCAACAGATATCCCTCACGGGGTGCAAGTGATGCAAAACGGACAGACCGGGGTGGAGCACATATCCACAGAGCCCGGACATATGGACAGTAGTGATTTTAATTGCCTTAATCACAAAAAGATAAGAGATGCCCAGAGAACGGATAGTGGCTTACAACCGCTATTGAAATACGTCCAGGAACAAAAATTCCCAGGAAGAAGGGAAAGAGAACAATTTGGTCGAGAAACAAAGAAAATACTGAGTCAGTGGGACCGTCTCAGTATAGAGGATGGTGTTCTCATGCGGAGAATTCATGACCAAATTGATGGGACAATACACCAGGTGGTGGTGCCTGGACAGTTACGAGAAGAAGTGCTAAGGTTGGCACATGACAGGGCAGGACACCAGGGTCAGGACAGGACGCACAAAATATTACGACGGAGGTGTTACTGGCCCAATATGGAAATGGAGGTCAAACGCCATTGTGAGGCTTGTGTGAGGTGTCAGCATGCGAAAATGCCAGTTGTCAAAATGAGACAGCCATCAGGACACCTATTAGCGACAAAACCACTAGAGATTGTGGCTATGGACTTTACGTCGTTGGAGCAATCATCGGATGGGACGGAACATGTGTTGGTAATGACTGATGTTTTCACCAAATGGACTGTGGCGGTGCCCACACGAGATCAGACTGCCAAAACAGTGGCAAAGGTCTTAATAGAACATTGGTTCATCAAATATGGCATACCAAGACAATTACACTCTGACCAAGGAAGGGCTTTCGAGTCAGAAGTAATTAACCAACTGTGCAGCCACTACGGGATCAACAAATCTAGAACAACCACATTTAATCCGAAAGGAAACGGACAGTGTGAACGGTTCAACCGCAGCATGCATGATTTGCTGCGTACCCTAGAACCTGAACAGAAAAAACGTTGGCCGGATTTTCTCCCAGAGTTGGTATATCTATACAACTGCACACCCCATGCCACAACCGGCTTTGCGCCACACATGTTGCTGTTCGGACGAGAGGCTCGACTCCCTCTTGATTTGGTCCTAGGAAAAAGGGAGAGTATGACTGGCTCATACACCGCACTGGAATATGTGAATGAACATATGAGAAGAATTAGAGAAATGTACAGGGTAGTACAGGAAAGACTAGAACAAGAAGCACGGCGAAGGGAACCGCCGGTACAGACAAAGGACCCGCCACTCAAACTGAACGACAGGGTATTACTGCGTAGCCACCCGTTAGGCAGAAACAAAATCCACGATCTCTGGGGACAGGAGATATGGCAAGTCGTGGAGATGCCTAAAGTAGCAGATGGCCCCTTTAAGATAAGACCCATCGATCACGCCAAACCGGATCGGTGGGCGAATATTGCTCAATTAAAGAAATATTGGAATAGGCAAGAAGAGCAGTTACACACAGAGAAACCTAAGACAATCAGGGGACCGGAAGTTACAACGGAAATTCACATACCCATCCCGGAACCATATCACCATCAACAGAACAACCGCGATACACAAGTGGAGGATAACGGCAACAAAGAGGATCCCGTTCCTTCCAGAAGCAGAGAGACAGTAGACCATCAGATAAGTGGTCCGCGGAGAAGTTTGAGGAACAGAAGGAAGACGAAATTTTTTGTCAGCAACCATCAATTCTTTCATGGTCGCGCTGGTATGAGAACAGACGGTTCAAAAAGCTATAAAAGTGAACTGGTGAAGGCACCAAACGAAAAGGGTGGATGTGAATTCTAGAACTGTTTTGTGTCTCAGGAAGATGATGTAGACACAGTTGATATGTGAAATAGGTATAACTGTCAATCGTATACGAATGGGACGACGTGGACAGTGAGTGGAACAATAAAAATTTTTTTACGATTGTGCGATTGACTTTGGAGGAGTGCACCTGCCAAGCGTTGTTTGTGGTTGAAAACACACAAAAAAAGGCAGGGGTGGATGTAACTAGGGTAGGCCTAGCTACTAGTTACAATTTGATGCAACTGATAACGAACGATAAGCCGCGACGCAGTATTACAGTCTGATGCAACTGATAGCAGGTGGCTTATTAAATCGGACTGATAACAATCTCAAAGCCAACGCGTGCTATTTTGGGAAACGGTACGAGGGGATTCAGACGGCCTGTCAACTTTGATTGATAGGATGCAGATGTTTTATTAATCGGACTGTACGTTAGAACTGCGCAACTAGTAGTCGGAGACATCGAGTACAAATATCGATTACGGATGAATACAAGTACGAATACGAGTACGAATACAAGGGATAAATAGGAGGGGACGGCTGAGCTCGCCCCTTTTCGATCGCTCTCTCCCTTTTTTCGATCGCTCGCTCTCTTTCGATCGCTCGCACTCTCTTCATCGCTCGCTTTAGATCAGTCAGTCTGTGTGACATATCAAGTTGGAGATAGAACGGGTTAGCCGTATTGTGTTAAGAAGGACAATAGACATGTGGATTCAGTTATATGAAGCCTAGTGAGGACTGTTAGGGGTCAGTTGATTCAGACTATTATTGTGAAGCATTCCTGTTGATTCATTGTGTTATTTTGAAGCATTTCTTGATTCATGTAATAAAAGGATCAATAGCGAACCTGCATCTTCGAGTATTTCTACTGTAGTCGATGTTGTGTAGAATGAGTGGTTAAACTCGTTACATTTGGCACTACAGGCAAATAGTCTCGTAACATGTGGCGTTGCGAGCAGGGTAACTGTTCGCTCGTTACATATATATACAATTCTCTTCTGGGAGACGTTAGAAAACAAGCTGCAAGCGCGCCTTGCAGTCACCTCTCTTCCTCTCTATCACTACCACCCCCACCCCCCACATGGTCTGGTGAGCGATGGTTCACTCTAAATGTTTACAATCCGGGTTTTGTTACGAATATTAGGGGCAGATAATTTAGTTTGAAACGATTTTAAACTTAGAGGAGGTAACTAAGAGGAGGCTGCTTTCACGGGGGGGGGGGGGGAATATAGGGTAGGTGTTGGGGGAAAGGGGGGGGGGGGTAGTGTTTTAAAGCAAATATTTTCAGTGGCAGCATTGGTACTGTCGAATTCACAAATTATGAATTACTGAAAAGTAGAAAATAAAACAACTAAATAGCGGCGTATGATACGCCGCGGGTCGGCTCGTATTTTTTAATTTGTCTTGTTTTTAGTTATTGTTTTCCAGGATTTTACATTGCTCCATATTTTGATACCATTATTATGAATATTTTCATTACCATTGTTTTTGTTGTTAATCATTACTATTACTTTCATTATGAACATACAAATGCTGACTTGTAGTTTGTTGGACAAAGGCTATGGAAGTAAACATAAAAAGAAAAACAGGCTGAAATCGGAATTAAGGGCGTTTATGGCGAACAACCAATTGATACGTAATTCTTAATTTTGGTGGAGGGAATTTTTTCCAACACTAGAGTTTAGAACGGAGAAGAAAAGTTATTGTCATTATTAACATCATTAGTAACATTATCTTCAATATCATCATCACTATCATTATAATAATTATTATCATTATTATAATCATTATACTCATCATCATCATGATCATCATCATTGTTTTCATTGTTTTCATTATTATCATTATTATCATTATTATCATTATTATCATTATTATCATTATTATCATTATTATCATTATTATCATTATTATCATTATTATCATTATTATCATTATTATCATTATTAACATCATTATTATTATTATCATTGATATCGTTAGTATTATTTATATCATAACTATATTATCATCATTATTATTATCGTTATTATCACTATCATCATTGTCATCATCATCATTATTTCATTATCATCATTGTCATCATTGTCCATAATAATATTAATACCATTATTAATATCACTATTAATACCACTATATTTCACTATTAAAATTGTCATTATTACCATTATAATCATTATTATCATTATCACCACTACCAGGGCCAGTGTTAATTCCGAGAGATCTTCGTCCAACCCCACACCGCCACACCCACCTCATCAAACCAACCACACATCTACAGACACCCACCCCAGTCACCATGGCGTACGGTGAATGGGACCACGGCCTGTTCGGATGCCTGAGCAACCCTTTTGTCTGCATCATGGCCTACCTTCTCCCGTGCTACGTCTTTGGTCAGCTCGCCTACAAAAACGACCGCTCCTGTCTCAAGTACGGCGTTCTGTTCTTCTGTCCAGTCGTAAACTGTGTTCTGCTGTACAAGTTCCGTATGGCCACTGTGGCGAAGAAGGACATCAAGACGACTTGCCTGCCGGAAGCGCTAAAGGTGGGACTATGTACGTGCTGCGCTATGGTGCAACAGGCCACAGAGGAAATGGAGGACCCGAAGGCTATGGATATGGGCCGCTCCTAGAGGGGGAGACTGGAAGTGTTTCTTTCAGGCATTGCCTCGTGGGTGAAGGACTTCTATCGCTCCCCCCCCCCCCCCCCTTCAGAAATGTAATTTAAATAGAAAACATAAACATATACTTCTACCAGTATCCGTTCCCCTCTACTGGAAAAATTGTGTCCGCTCCCCCTCCCCAAAAGTTTTAACCCTCCCCTTCCCTCCATGAAAGAAACAAACGATACTGATTCATTCAGCCACATAACCATTGTTCATTACTTTCGTACTAGATTTGTCATGCAGAAGTAAAATTGACATAGAATCGCTTTTTTTCTTTAGCTGAGTGCGTTGTAAATTAGTAAATGAATCTAGTAGCAGATGACGCTTAAAGATTGGTAGAAGTCTTAGTATGATTAGATCAGTACACGTTTTGGATCACGGCATTAGAAAGTACTTACAAGCTTCATTTGGATACTAGCACTTAGATTACATTATTCTAAAAGTTGGATCATAGCACTATGATTATATTATTGAAATATTTGGCTCATAGCTCTATGATTATATTATTGAAATATTTGGCTCATAGCTCTATGATTATATTATTGAAATAGTTGGCTCATAGCACTATGATTATATTATTGAAATATTTAGCTCATAGCACTATGATTATATTATTGAAATATTTGGCCCATAACACTTAGCATTATTGTAATACTTGGCTCTTAGTACTAATATATTAGTACTAATATTATATTATTTTAATATTTGGCTCATGGCACTATGATTATATTATTGAAATATTTGGCTCATAGCATGTAACAACATACAGATGCATCTATTTTTTCATGCATTGGCGCATATACTTGAACAACACCCAGGCTTTTATATTGAAACATCACATTGGTACATTTATTTGAACATCATATTGGCACATTTATTTGAAATCACCTTGGCTCTTAAATTGCCGTGGCCAATTTGTTTATCTATTCATTTGAACTTGTAATGTTATCGGCAATAGTAAAATGTTATCTCAAATTAGAATGAGGTTGATCTACAACATTACAAGACAACTTACATCTAAATAACAAGAAGTACTCTAACAATGTTATACATAACAAAGTTGGTTTTTAATACTAGAAATAATCTTAGTGAATTAACCAATTTGACAATTTAGCTCTCTTTGATGTTAAAAAAAAATTGTGTAAGTAGAAAGTAATATTAAAATTTAAAGCTAATATCTTAACACGGACAAGATATTGTGTCATCTAAATCTAATGCATTTTGTAAAAGTTAATTTGTTTTGTTTATAAAATTCTTAATTTTAATTTACATTTTTTTTAACCAGTTGTTTATGGTTTTACAAATGTATCGGGTAAGAAATTAATCAACGTGGAGATCAATCAATTTTTTTTTAAAAGCTGGCAGTATTTATAAGAGATATGTGATTATATATATATTGATTGTGTTGTGTGTGTGTGTATTTTAGTTAGTGAGTGAGTGTGTGTGTGTTTCTGTGTGTGTGTGAGTGAGTGTGTGTGTTAGAGTGTGTGAGTGTATGAGTGTGTGTTTGTCTACATGGGACATCAAATAAAACAGCTCCTAACTTGTAGTTTACCCTCTAATGGACAATATATATTGAAGTAAATCCAGAAAGAAAGAAATGCTAAATTAGAGTCAACGGCCTATATGACGCATGACCAGTTGACGCGTAATACTTAATTGTGTTAGAGGAAATCAAGTTCAATGTTACCATTCAGTACGAAGAAAAAGAGAAAGAAAGATCAGAAGTGATTTAGACATCAAGGTCAGATGTTATATATGGAGGCCTTATGCCCTGACCTTATATAGCAGACTTTATGCCCTGAGCTCGATGTAGGAGACTATGCCCTGACCTTATATAGCAGACTTTATGCCCTGACCTTGATATGGCAGACTTTATGCCCTGACCTTGATATGGCAGACATTATGCCCTGACCTTATATAGCAGACTATGCCCTGACCTTATATAGCAGACTTTATGCCCTGAGCTTAATATAGCAGACTTTAAGCCCTGACCTTATATAGCAGACTTTATGCCCTGACCTTGATATGGCAGACTTTATGCCCTGACCTTGATATGGCAGACATTATGCCCTGACCTTATATAGCAGACTATGCCCTGACCTTATATAGCAGACTTTATGCCCTGAGCTTAATATAGCAGACTTTAAGCCCTGACCTTATATAGCAGACTTTATGCCCTGACCTTGATATGGCAGACATTATGCCCTGAGCTTATATAGCAGACTTTATGCCCTGACCTTGATATGGCAGACATTATGCCCTGACCTTATATAGCAGACTATGCCCTGACCTTATATAGCAGACTTTATGCCCTGAGCTTAATATAGCAGACTTTAAGCCCTGACCTTATATAGCAGACGTTAAGCCCTGACCTTATATAGCAGACTATGCCCTGACCTTATATAGCAGACTTTATGCCCTGACCTTATATGGCAGAATGTTTGCCCTGGCTGTGATGTAAAATCCTTCATGACCCTAGTTAAGTGTGTATATACAAATTGTCATTATATTTTTTTAAATATAAAAAAAATAATGTTTTCTAATATTATATAGTAAGGCCTACATCATATAGAAATCGACATGTTGATGTGAAACAATTTTGCGACGCTGCTCCAAAAACCATTGCGCACTAAAGTGCACTCATGAAAACCGGAAGCTGAATTTACGCACTAAAGTTTTCTGTTAAAATATTTATTTAATCTGCTTTTTTCCCACCAAATTTTAGTTCGACGAAGACCAGCATTGGACAGTGGACCAAGTTCTTTCAGGCAATATTTGTAATACATAAAATATAGAGCTTCATCTAATTAAAAATTAATGACACTAGGTCTTCATTACAACTACAAGATGCACCCTCTTACCAGTGTACAACCTGACGACTGCTGCTGATGTGCTACCAGTGGCGTAGGCAGGGGGGGGGGGTAGGGGGGTCATAACCACCATAGACCCCTCGGTATATATATAAAAAGTATGAAGGGGGTGCAAATCGAAAGTTTGAGGGGGGTGCAAATCGAAAGTTTGAGGGGGGGGGGTGCAAATCGAAAGTTTGAGGGGGGGGGGGTGCAAATCGAAAGTTTGTCCCCGGGTAAAAATTGGAACCCCCCCCCCCCCTTGAGACGATCCTGGCTACGCCACTGTGTGCTACCTTGTACATTCTAAATTATAATTAGATCTAAATATATAATCCATAGCTCAAACTACTATAGTCGATTAGAGATTGTGATGAAGAAATATATACTAACCAAATTAGCTTGCAATTAGGGGACATCGTGGCAGAGTATGGGAGCGTACGAGTTGGATCCCAGTGCAGATAAGGCTTGTTAGCCTTACGAAGATGCCCATGTAATTAAAAAAAAGTAGAGTTCCTTTTTCACACATGACGGTCTATAGGTTAAGTGAAGTAGAGTCCACACGTTTCTGTGACCTCGGCATATGAAGAGATAGTGTGGTCAGCATTATGCACAGACGTCTTTACTTTCCCTAACGTGAGTTAGGTACCCATCAGAGCTGGGTGAACTCAGGGACAGTAGACTTACTTGAACCTAGATACGAACACGAGACTTAAGGGTTAGCAGTCCAGTTCTCTACCACTAGACCACTTCGACCGCCCATTTCATAAGCATGTCGATATTATAAATATACCGTATCTTTTAACTCAACCAAACTAAGTAATAAAGCACTGAGGTTTCCGTTGTAACTTCATTACAACAGGATAACAGCTACGCAGTTTTCAAATAATATTTTTATTATGTGAGTGATGAGTGGGGGGAATGGGGGGGGGGGGGCGGAGGTACTCACAATGCACAAACGTTAATGCACTTTATACCCCCCCCCCCCACATCTACATCCACAACTATAGTCAACATAAACACAATCCTTCCCTCCCCCCCCCACTCACACACAAATGTGAACACATCTTATAATTAAACACAAACTTAGTGTATTTAGTACAAACAGTTTTTTTTTCTTGACAGGTTGACCAGAAAACATTAGGATTCTTACCAGATCAATATTCAGACGATTCAACCAAAAAAAAAACCCACGTATAAACTGTTTTGACTTGCCAATTAATCAACAACCTGCAAGCCTTTTAGTTCTGAACCATCATGTCGAAGGCACAGGAGATCAAATGGCAGCATTCCTTGTTTGATTGCCTAGACAACCCTTACCTTTGTTTCATCGCTCACTGCTGCCCGTGTGTAGTGCTGGGCAATTTGTCAAGAAGACTAGGCGAACCGTGGATTGTGGGCTTCTGCATCGTGTTCGTCCCTATATTCAACTGCGTCGCTTTCGCCATCATGCGAGAAATGCTGATGGACGCTAAGGGGATGCCGAAGAACAGGTGCAAAGAGTGCTGCAGGGTGCTAGTCTGTCCTTTCCTCACCTTAATACAAGAGGCGAATGACGACTTCAAGCCGCCAGAAAATTTAGAAATGGCTCGTACTTAGACGTGTCCTCTGGCGTTGCATACCTGCGGTAAACTCGCTGATCTCTGACTTTTCAAGATATATTTTTTATGAACTTAAATGTTAGAAGCTAGTGCAGTGGCGTAGCGAGGTCGGGTGTCTATATATTTTGCTATTTTTTGCCTTGGTGTCACCCCCCTAAAAGGTGTCACCCGGTGCGGTCCGCCCCCCCCCCCATCGATACGCCACTGAGCTAGTGTATTCAATCATTATACCTTTAGGAGCTGGTATTTACGGAAGCGTTAGCAAAAAAAAAAATATGAATGTTTACATTTACATGGGTACTTATTAACAACAACGAGTTAGTAGATTTTTTAAACATCCGGAACTATTTTAGTTTAAATAATATAAATTAAAGTTTCGTGTAAGTAATTGCCAAGATACTCGAATAAAGTTACCATCAGAAAAAAAAATTAGAAAATATCTGAATACTAACAGCTCCATCACATGGAAAATATGAAATTGTTGAACTTCATAGGCTGTACCTGTTTTTGTTATTATTAATAGGAACATAAACATCATTAGTTTTAATATGCCAACAGGAGGGTTTTTTTAGCTTTAAAAGTAATGTTCACTTAAAGAATGCTAAAATTATAATGTGTACGGATAATGCTTATCAATTTTATTTATAATTTTAATTTAACATCATATTAAAGACATTTGTAATCGGTACGTGTTTTTTATAAGACTTTTTAAATTTATTTTACTATTTTATTTTTTTAACTATTTTTTTTCCAGTAATGTATGTCTAGGTAAATTCAAAGTTCTGCATTTAAATTAACATTTACGTTGATCTGTTGTTTTTATGTTCCATTAATGCTGATTTTAAATAGTAGCTACAGGAATAATTTGGCGATAATCTTTGGGTGGGTATAAATGTCCTAAAGGGGGTTGCACCGGGAGACAACATTTAAGGGGTGACAACAGAAAGAAAAGTCGTACAAATTTTCAAAACAATATCTATATATATAATTCTCTTCTGGGAGACGCTAGAAAACAAGCTGTAAACGCGCTCCCTACCACCCCCACCCCTACATGGTCTGGTGAGCTGCGGTTCACTCTTTATGTTTACAAACAGAGCAGGGTTTAGTGACGACTATTAGGGGCAGATAATTTAGTTTGAAACGATTTTAAACGTAGGGGGGGTAACTAAGTGGAGTTTACTTTAACGGAGGGGGGGGGAAGGAGGGGGGGTTATCGTCTTTAACGAGCTACTTATAGTATTTTAAAGAAATATTTTCAGTGGCAGCGTTGGTAGTGTCGAATTCACAAATTATGAATAACTGAAAAGTAGAAAAAACAACAACTAAATAGATGCGTATGATATGCCGCGGGTCGGCTCGTTCATTATAAAATAACAATTACATTTTAATCACTAGTTGTCTATTTAATTAGATTAAAAACTCGATATTCTTGCATTGTCATCTAAGATGAACCACTGTGCCAAATTTCAGCTCAATCGTACAGTTGGAAGTGGGTTAAATTAAGATGCCAAGATTAGCGCACCCACACACATATTTAGCAAGCTAAATAAAAATTGCAACAAAATATTTGAGGAGGGTGGGGCCAGTGGCGTAGCGAGGTCGGGTGTCACCCGGTGAGGCACTTAATGGTGTCACCCCCCCACCCCCCAGAGGCATAGCGACTTTTCCCGGGGACAAACTTTCATGTTTCGATTTGCACCCCCCCCCCAAGTTTTCGATTTGCACCCCCAACCCCTCAAATTTTTCTCTATATATTTTTACTATTTTTTGCCTTGGTGTCACCCCCCCCCCCCTAAATGGTGTCACCCGGTGCGGTCCGCACCCCCGCCCCCCCCCCTCGCTACGCCTCTGGGTTGGACGACACCCTCGGTTATCGCACAGGGTGACAACCTACCTCGTGAGGCCTATGACTGCTAGTAGATACACAACAGACACTTTGAAATTAATTTTGTCCATACACCGTTTATCAATCGTTAAACATTGATCCTGAGCAACATATACACTGTTAAAAATATACGGTTCGATTTTACAGTTTAAATACAAGTGTCATGTGTTTATATACCTCGACTAATGCAGCAGAGAAATGTGTGGTATTATTAGTAGGATGTAGAGTGGCATAAACTACAAAGGCAGATGTGTGTTGTGATCAGGGGTTTAAATTCTATGAGATCATAGAAAGGGCATAAAAAGTGATGTACTCTCAGGGCATTTAGTCTGTGATGTCACTTATTCTGTGATGTCGTTGTCAGGGCATAAGTCTTATGCCACTGAAAGGGCATAATTTTTGTGATGTCACTGTCAGGGCATAAAATCTTTGATGTCTCTAATAGGGCATAATATTTGTGATGTTACTATCAGGACACAAAGTGATGTCATTGCCATGTAACAAAATCTAAGTTTTCTCTGTCAGGTCATAATGTCTGTTAAAGCGTTATGTTAGTAACGTCCCTTTAGGATATAAATATGTAATTGTAATGTCACTGACTATTTATGAGTTCTTGTATGTCAATGTCAGGACATAATGTCTGTGTAAAGTTGCTACTATGGCATAATGTGTGTTTGAATTTGCAACTATGACATAATGTCTGTGTGAAGCTACTTACAAGGCATAATGTCTGTGTAGTTGCTAGTATGGCATAATGTCAGTGAAGTTGCTACAATGACATAAAGTCTGTGTTAAGCTGCTACTATTGCATCTTGTCTGTGAAGTTACTACTATGGCATAATATCTGCGAAGTTGCTACTATGGCATAATGTTTGTGAAGTTGCTACTATGGCATAATGTTTGTGAAGCTGCTACTATTGCATAATGTCTGTAAAGTTGCTAACATGGCATAATGTCTGTGTGAATTTACTACTATGGCATAATGTCTGTGAAGTTGCTACTATGGCATAATGTCTGTGAAGTTGCTACTATTGCATAATACTTTCTCGTATATACGAAGTATAGAGAAAGTCTTGTAATCGTGCAAAAAAAAGTTGCTAACATGGCATAATGTCTGTGAAGTTGCTACTATAGCATAATGTATTTGTGAAGTTGCTACTATTGCATAATTTCTGTGAAGTTGCTACTATGGTATAATATCTGTGACGCTGCTAATATGGCATAATTTCTGTGAAGTTGCTACTATGGCATAATGTCTGTGTGTAGTTGGTGCTATGGCGGTAGACAAGTCCCCCATCTCAGAGTTTCTTCCAGGCATCTCTTCGGGGGGGGCCTCGCCCCCCCCCCCCGAACATTTTTTCCCGTCCCCCCGAACGAAATGAAATTTATATAATTTATCTAGAAAATATATACTTTTAACAGTGTCCGCCCCCCCGAAGAAAGTTTACTGCCCCCCCCCCCCCCGAAGATTTCAAGTGCCCCCCTGAAGAAAAACGTCTGGAAGAAACACTGCCATCTTCTCGCGAGAGGTTCTAGAACGAAAGCTTAGGCTATATTATGTACTGAATACCTTAAATTCAATTCAGTAAGCAATCTACGTATTTCTTTTTCATTTTGTAATATTTTTTCTTAATTATTTTTTATATCATTGCTATTTAAAGCACTTATATTTTTGATCCCTTAATTGGCAGTTATTTGGTGCGCAATATGATTTTTAAAATTCTACAGAGGGTTCACGCCTTTTTTTTAAGGATATTTTTTTTTCGTTGATTATTTAATAATTAAATGGAAATCATCTTATTTTATTTTTAGTGTATAGGCCTACTATTTAAACGCTTAATATTACAAACCTTTTTTTTTTTAATTAATTCGGTTCCCCTTACTGTAATACGTTTTAAGGAAATAAAAAATAAAATTAACATTCAATATTATGTTCTTTAAACATCGTTAGTGTATTCATAAAAATATACATAAATATATATAAATATCATGATAAATGTTTTTATTAAAAAATGTATAGGCCTACTTCTTTTCTTATCTATATATATAATTCTCTTCTTCGAGCCGTTAGAAAACAAGCTGCAAACGCTCTCCCTACCTCCCCACCCTACATGGTTTTAGTGAGCTGTGTTCACTCTAAATGTTTACAAGCAGAGCCAACGATTTTAAACGTAGGGGTGGGGTGGAGGAGGGGGAGGGAAGGAAGGGGGGGGGGGGTTATGGTCCTTAACGAGCTACTTATAGTGTTTTAAAGAAATATTTTCAGTGTCAGCGTTGGTACTGTCGAATTCACAAATTATGAATTATTGAAAATTAGAAACAACTAAATAGCGGCGTATGTTATGCCGCGGGCCGGCTCGTGCTAAATATTCGACGTGTTGGTGCGCAAAGTTTTCTTGTCATCATTCCAAGAACCATTCTGCACATCTTTTGGTACTACTGAACACCGGATGTTTTATTTACACGGTTACCTTTCCCATAGACAACAGGGAGAGTGTTTTCAGAGATCTTGCAAGCGAATTTTGGTAAGATATAAAACATTGGTTAAGAATTACAATGTTTAAAGACCGAGCGTCAGCGATGTTTTGATTAAAAGGTAGTCTAGGTCTAGATCTATATTTGAACTAGTATTCGCTTCCTTAAAATAAAATAAAGAAAGATTTTTTAAAATGTAACTGGCTTTCATTGTTGCTAGTGTGGAATCGTGCGACTAGAATGATATATCATGATAATATTTGTCCCACCTCTACATCGGGGTCAGAGTTTCTTCCAGGCATCTCTTCGGGGGGGGGGGGGGGGGGGGGCTAGGCGCCCCCCCGAAAAATTTTTACCGCCCCCCCCCCCCCGAACGAAATGAAATTTATATAATTTATATAGAAAATATATACTTTTAACAGTGTCCGCCCCCCGAAGAAAGTCTACCGCCCCCCCCCCCCCCGAAAATTTCAAGTGCCCCCCGGAGAAAAAAGTCTGGAAGAAACACTGATCGGGGTTAATACGATTTTAATGGCTTTGATTATTTGATGGGGGAGGGGGTGGGGGTTAAACTACTACAGAGCTATATTTTGCAGTTATTTTCCCACTCTGTTGAGTGAATAAAATTTAAGGACTACATAACGGAAGCCTAATAGATTGGCCAATTTTCAGATTAAGACCATTTTTGTATAGCCGGATAGGAGGGTGAGGGGGGGGGGGGGGAAGCACAGTCATGTACTGTATAAACTACACTAGTTTGTAAAGGGGCGAAACCCTAAACGGACCCAATGCCGTCACATAAACTTAATTTAAAGTTAACCATTTTGATTTGTTTTAAAATTATTAAGTTCTTGAGTCCACCCAGCTCTGATGGGTACCTGGCTTACGTTAGTGAAAGTAAAGGCGGCTGGACATAGTGCTGACCACATTTTCCCTTTATATACCGAGGCCACAGGTGAACTCTACTTCACTTGCCCCATGGTCAGGTTCGAAAAGGGAACTTTACTATCCACCTACTGCTTCAGATTTGACTGCCTTCGACCTTCGTCGGCTGTAACCCAGCTCTCGAGTATAAAAACCTGTTGTATTTGAGCATGTACTAAAGAAAAACACAACTACGAAACTTGACAATTTTAGTTTGTTCTTATCTATAGGGTTTAAGGGAAACTACTCCACTCTGTACTATAAAGAATTATATTTTCCGACTTATTTAAAGGTCTACGGAACAGTAAAGGGAGAGCATTGTCATCAATACTTCATGTATAAAAAAGCAAAAATGATACACTCTATATGTTAGAAGGTTTATTGCTGGAGTATGTTGCAT